TGTCCTTGTCTCTCTCTCTCTGTCCTTGTCTCTCTCTCTCTGTCCTTCTCTCTCTCTGTCCTTCTCTTTCTCTCTGTCCTTCTCTTTCTCTCTGTCCTTCTCTCTTATCTCTGCCCTTCTCTCTCCCTCTGTCCTCTCTCTCACTGTCCTTCTCTCTCTCGCTGTCCTTCTCTCTCTCTCTCTCTGTCTATCCCTCTCTCTCTCTCTGTCCCTCCCTCTTTCTCTGTCCCCATTTTGCTGTCTCTGTTTCTGTCTGTTTCTCTCTATCTCTGTCTCTCCCTCACTATTTCCTCTCTTGCTCTGTTTCTCTGTTCCTCTCTCTTTTTCTCTCTCTCTGTCCCCCTCCTTTTCTCTCTCTCTTTCTGTCTCTCTCTTTGTCTCTCTGTTTTTGTGTGTCTCTCCCTCTGTCTCTCTCCCTGTTTCCCTCTCCACTCTTTCTCTCTCTGTCTCTCTTACACTCTCTCTGTGCCCCCCTCCATCTTGCTGTCCTCCCTCACATGTTTGTTTTTGTTCCTGTTCTCAGGAAGCACCAGCAGTATGATTGTAAGTGGTACATTCCCCTGGCTGACCTCATGTTCCTGTCTGCTGAGGATTTGGAGCCAAGCCCGCAGGTTCACATTGTGCCTGAGCACGAGCTGGAGGAAATGAAGATGAAGATATCTCACACCAAGAACGAAATCCAGAGAGAAAAAGTGAGCACTGAACCGAGGTTGACTCACGCTGAGCCGAGGTTCCCAATCCAGCCGTGGGTGGGAGTGGATTGGGGGGGAGCTGGGAGGGGCAGCTAGTGTGCCCTGCCTCGGTTCTGAGAGCACAGGAACTGGCTTGTGGTGGTATCTGTGCCTATGGGATGGCGTTGGGGCAGTGAAGTTGGGGGGCAAAGTGGGGGGACAAGAAATGCAGTTGGTGGACTAGGGGAGTTGTGATTGGGTGGAGAAGGTGCAGGGGGCGGGTTAGGGAATTCTGGGACATTGGAGGGAGTGTGGGTTTGGGCTGATAGAGTTCAGGGTCATGGGGACAGGTTTGGAGGGATTGGATTCAGCATCAGGCTGAAGGGAAGGGTTTTGTGGGGTCAGGGGCAGTGAGGAGGGCAGGATTGGGGTCAGGGCTTCAGCAATGGGACTGCACTCAAGGGTCAGCTCCAGATCGCCGGTAGGGAACCTCCACTTTCCATAAACTGTGACCCTGACACTCGCCCTCTTGCTCCCTTCCTCTCCCTCTCTACAACGCCCCCACACCCCTTTCTCGCCCCACACCCCTTTCTCGCCCAACACCCCTTTCTCGCCCC